GTGCTCCTACTAGAAGCATGGTACTGTTAGCAGTGTGGTTCTGTTAGGATTGTGCTCCTACTAGAAGCATGGTACTGTTAGCAGCATGGTCCCGCTAGCAGTGCGACCCTGTCAGCAGCATGGTCCTACTAGCAGAGTGGTTCTGGTAGCAGTAAAGTTCTGTTAGCAACATTGCCCTGTTAGCAGCGTAGTGCTGTTAGCAGTGTGGTTCTGTTAGCATTGTGCTCCTACTAGCAACATGGTACATGTGGCTCTGTCAGCAGCATGGTCCCACCAGCATTACAGTCCTGTTAGCAATGTGAATATTACTTGTTGCCAATATTAATCAAATTAAACAGTTTACTGAAATTTATAAAACCACTCTTGAGGTTCAAAATGAATCAGCTAGTGTGTATGCTCGTGTTTATAGGTGTCTAATTGGCTTTTTCAAATTTAATCAAAAGTCCTATAAGACATACTGATGTCAAAATTAAGTTATTTAGCATAAAACAACACCTTTTTCTACCTTTTGGTATAGCAAATTTCCTGTCTAAAAGTAATTCTATTCTACTCTGTATTGCTTTGTTTACTTTCAGAGTTTATACACATGAAACATCTAATCTACACACACATTTATTCTCCCTTACACGTTTTTAACTCAATAAATTAGTCAAATGGTTTTTAATTAATTTCTTTCACAATGAGTATTTGGCATCACAGAAAACATTAATTGATAATTGTTAGATAAGTAAAAATCCCATTATTATCTTCTTACTCAAATAAGCCACTCTGAGTACACAAGAAGATTTTTAGCTGGTTTAACTTACAAGGACTCATTCAAGACAGACTACATACACAGATACACAGTGCATGGATCATGTCACTGAATGATCGTCGAACAGAATTAGCTGCAGTCTTTAATACAGCAGCGAGGTCCTCATAGCCAGCTACAATCAGACGCAAAGACAGGATCGATGGCTCTTGGAGAATCAGCCTCCAGCTGGAGATGAGAGAATTTTTTTAGCATGTTCTCATGGCATCGACACCAGTGAGGCACAGCGGGTCAGCGAGCTGGCCTTCAGGCCGAGACAAGAGAATGTTTTCTGCACACATTAGAGAACAATGTTCTCAGCCATAATACACTGTTCAAAAAAATAAAGGGAACACCTAAACAAAACAATGTAACTCCAAATCAGTCACAACTTTGTGGAATCAGTGTCACCAGTTAGGTAGTAACAGGGGCGGCTGTGGCTGAGTGGTTAGAGCAGTCGTCCTCCAATGCGAGAGTTGGGGGTTCGAATCCACCAGCAGTCACATGCTGAAGTGTCCCTGGGCAAGACACTAAACCCCTCATTGCCTCCAATGTGTGTCCCATCAGTGTTTGAATGTGATAAAGCTCTGATCAGTCTCTTTAGAATGATTTGTTCAATTATTTTTGTAGAGATCTAGTAGAGTGCTGTATGAATGGGTAAATGAGGACACGGATTGCAGTGGAAAGAGCTTTGAGTATCTTGAAATAAGATAGAAAGGCGCTATATAAGTACAGTCCATTTACCATTTACTTATTGTGAATCAATTTCAGCTGCTGTGCAAATTGAACACACAACTGGTGAAATGAGAGGCAATTAGCAAGACAAGAGTGATTGTGCAGGTGGTGACCACAGGTCATTTTTCTGTTCTCGTCCTTTTTGGTTGAACTTTTGAGCCCCCAGTATACTCCTGCGTACGTCTGCGCGGAGGTACGTGCGTACGTACGCGAAGGGTTGAGACTTCATACTCGAGCGTACACCCTGAGCAGCTGCAGAGCAGCACCGCAGACAAGGGGTGTTTACCTTCGGGACAAATTGAGGTCGGTGATTGGTCATTTGCTGATGAGGGCATTGATGTTATGGACCGGCCTGCCCGTTCCCCAGACCTGAATCCAATTGAGCACATCTGGGACATCTTGTTTCGGTCAATCCACCATGGCCACATCGCACCACAGACTGTTCAGGAGCTAACTGATGCTGTAATCCAGGTCTGGAAGAGATCCCTCAGGAGAACTTCCGCTGTCTCATCAGGAGCATGCCCAGACGTTGTTGGGAGGTTATACAGGCACGTGGAGGCCACACACACACACACACACTACTGAGCCTCATTTAGACATGTCTTAAGGGATATTCACTGACGTTGAATCAGCCTGTCATGTTATTTTCCACCTTCATGTTGAGTATGAATCCAAATCCAGATCTCCTTGGTGTAATAATTTTGATTTACATTGATAATTGTTGTGTTATTTTAGTGTTCCCTTTAATTTTGTGAGCAGTGTATAATAAAAAGTTTCATAACATAAATTCTCAAACAATAATGCTACCAGAACCTCTTTTAAACAGCAAAGATAAGCTTCATCTGTGCAGAGTCTCCCATTCAGTTCAGTTTATTTATATAGTGCAAATTCACCATTTTTAAATTAAATGCTGCAAATTCAAGTCCATGGGAGTGGTGGCATAGAGGTTAGAGAAGGTGGACCTGTGATCAGAAGGTAGTCGGTTCAACTCCCCAGACTGACAACATCAAAATGTGGGCGGGAAAGGTGGAGCTCTCGCACCTGCCTCCACCCTCATTTGCCCCACTCTGGGCTGGTGAGCAAAGCCCTTAACCCTCACCATCAGCTCCCCCAGGCACACTAGATGGTAGCTATCTGCTCTACACAGAGGGCTGTGGTAGCTCAGTGGTCTGTGGTTGGATCAGGAAGAACGTTCTCAACTCACCAAAAAAAACCAACCAAGAAATACCAAAGCATGCAGCAAAAGTACAAAACAAAGCACCAAAAGTGAAAAAGAAATACATCTACAAGGTTCAAAAGAAATATAGTAAACAACATGATAGACTACAATGGTGCAAGCAGGATGAATCAGTACAAATAAGGACCTCACAGGCAGTAACCCTGCTTAAATGCACATGATACATGTTGCACTCAGCATACACCACACAGGGTGCACGACAGGCCACTGCACAGTCACTGAGCAACATTGAGATGAACTGAACCAAAGCAGCAGCACACATGATACAGCCACACAATGCAGCAGCAATAAACATTAGGTGTCACAGATGTGACTTAGTTCTGTCAAGCCAGTAGACCGAGACAGAGTACAGTCGGGGATGGACAGCTCCAGCCATGTTTCTGTAAAGTTAAAGACACAACAGCTTTGTGTCCCGCTCACAATAAATCGTGCATATGGGTTTGATGCTTCTCTGGCGGGTCCTGCACAAAACACCAGCTCACTTTCCTCTCCCTGTTTTCCTCTTACGGCGCCAAAGTAAACAAAGGACCCAGGAGAAAATGTCCGCCGCGGCGTCCCCAAAAGTCATCCCAAAGTCCACACTCACTGACGATCGCAACTTCTAAAGTGCGTTGAGATAAGATAGAAAATGATGCTGCATGCCTTATTGGCAGCACGACGGCTCAGTGGTTAGCACTGTTGCCTCACAGCAAGAAGGTCCTGGGTTCAATCCCCGGTTGGATCTGGGGTCCTTCTTTGTGGAGTTTGCATGTTCTTCTCGTGCTTGCTTGGGTTTTCTCCGGGTACTCCGGTTTCCACCCACAGATAAAAAACATGCATGTTAGGCTGCCTTCAGGCCCAGTACTCCCTTGCAAAAGAGATCTGTGATCTCAATGGGATTTGCCTGATTAAATAAAGGTCAATAATTATTATTATTATTATTATTATCACAAATATCAGCACATCAACCTCCTGTTAGTACGTCAACCTCCTTAATGCAAAAAAGCAACAGAATTTTTCTAAAAGAGACATCTTCATTCTGACTCTGGATCAGATATCAGTGACATACTGTGAACATCATAGAAGCATAAGTGTGATGAGGCACAAACGTCAAGATGCTTATGAGATTATGACATCACTGTGTCATCAACATACAGTTTTATGCTGTTTGTCATAGAGATGATCTGTGTTTATTCTAACTGATGTTAAAATGTCTTTAATCACAGACTTGGTTCTTGCCAGCTCTCAGTATCTCACTGTGAAGTTGTGGCCTCAGCTCTGAACTCCAACCCCTCCTATCTAACACAACTCGACCTGAGTAACAACAATCTGAAAGAATCTGGAGTCAAGCATCTGTGTTCTGGACTGGAGAGTCCCAACTGTAGACTGGAAACTTTGAGGTCAGTTCCCAAGATTTGTAGAAGGTTTTCTTGGCTGTCAAACCAAATATGGATTTAAACTTCAAAACGCATCTATTTATGATCGTACTAAAATTTAATAATTTAATATAATCAGGCATGTTTTTTCTGAAATGTTCGGTTTTTACAAATTTCTAGCTATAAATTTATAACAATACCAAGTCTTGTATTTTCTTGTTTTAACCTTTAAAACATTATACAACAAAACATTAGACATCTGCTGATCATGTTTTGTGGTGCGTACAATCTATAAAAATACATTTGTACATTTAGATTATTGTTTTTTATTATTGTGTTCATATTTTTGTTTTACGCTGCATCCTCCTTTGTTTTTTTTTGTTGGTTTTTTTGTACAGATTAGAGAAATGCACTCTGTCAGAGATCAGTTGTTCTTTTCTGGTCTCAGCTCTGAAGTCCAACTCCTTCCATCTGACAGACCTGGATCTGAGCAGGAACAGCCTGTCTGATGGTGAAGTCAGGGAGTTCTGTGGATTTCTGGAGAGTCCTAACTGTAGGCTGAAACGTCTGAGGTCAGAGATGTTTTAGTTTTGTGCTAAAATGAATGTGATGTGATATTTGTGTTGGCACCAAACAACAAATGACACTGATCAACACTGAGGATCTGCAGGGCAATTAGTTTTTGTTTGGGAAGGAGCCGTCAGTGTATAGTATTATTATTATTATTATTATTATTATTATTATTATTATTATTATTA